TTTCATTCAAGGTAATGATATAAAATTTTCCTTTGAAGTAGGAATACTTAAAATAAAAATGAATTGATTTAAGTACAGCCATGAAGTCCATAATATAAATGTTTGCGGTCCGCCATGCTGGAGGAAGTGCCCTTTGAGCCATGTGAGTGGGTAGCTTAGCACTACTTTCCCCCTCCCCTATCGTATTTCCCTGGGAATCCTTCCTAGGAGTGGCCTCTCTAGGAGTCACCTTAGCAGGCTGCTTTCATCTCCCATGCATGCTCCTTGGGATGCGAGGGCTTGTCCAGATATCGTTCCTAATCCGTACCTCCAGCCATGGGTTTCTCAGTTCTGCACATGTGCCTCTGGACGCCGGCTCTCTCAACCTGTCACCTTTACTCCTGTGGCAGCAACAAGGTGAAGGAACAAACCTTATCTATTCACCCACCTCGGGCCTCTGATGTGCTTTGGCCTATTAATAATTTAGTGAGGTGGAATGAATTGGATTGACTCCCCCAAATCAATACATAAATGATTATTGTTACAGGGCATTTCTGATGGCCTCAGCAAGGCCAAGGGGAGCTTTTTGATTGAAAATTGGAACTGCACTCATCACTCAGAATCACTGCGGAGAGGGTTATGTAAACCAAAGGGGTGACCGGGTGTTCATATTTTTATTGCAATAAAACCCCCCCCTTTTTTTTGAATGGTGCTTTTATGACATACTTACTATCATTGTTCCAGGCCTATAATTTTAAAATTACTGCTCGATACTGAAGGTGGAATGTTTTACTGCCACGGGTCTATTAAAGTTGTAAGAGCCAGCAGTAGCTTGGAAAGTGCCTATGGATAGATGTGTTTGGCCACACCGAGCCGTCACCACAGATGTGCCGGCAGATGTGGCTGGGCAGGATCAGTGGGTGGTGACAACAAGGGGGTGTGTGCACGCCTGCACCTGGGCCTCTCACAGGGGGAAGCAGGCACTGAGCTCTGAGCATTGCTCCACCCCTCATCCCCCCACTCCCTCCATCTCCCCCAACCCTACCCACACCCTGTGCTGGCAGACCACAGCTCCAGGAGGGCAGGGACACCAGCAAGCCACACTAAACCCAAGCAGCAACCCAAACTGGCTGCCTCGCCCCACAGAGCTCAGGTGGAAATGTTGTGGCAATCATGAATTTTGCCAGTTAATTTTTATTATGGTAAAATACATATAACACAAAAATTTACCATTTTAACTATTTTTTCAATGTATGTGGTTCAGTGGCATTAAGTATATTCACATTGTTTTGCAACCATCACCACCATCCATCTCCAGAACTCTTTCATTTTGCCAAACTGAAACTCTGTACCTATTAATCAACAACTTCCCAATCGCCCTTTCCTCCAGCCCCTGACACCCACCCTTTTACTTTCTGTCTCTATGAATTTGATGGCTCTGGTTGCCTTATATATGAAGACCATACAGTCTTTATCCTTTTGTGACTGCTTAGTTCACTTAGCATAATGTCCTCAAGGTTCAACCATGTTGTAGCTGAATTTTCTTCTTCTTTAAGGCTGAAAAATATTCCACTGTGTGTACAAACCACAGTGTGTTTATCCATTCATCTGTCGATGGACACTTGGGTTGCTTCTACCTTTTGGTTACTGTGAGTAATGCTGCTATGAACACCGGTGTGCAAGTAGTTCCTGAAGTTCCTGCTCTCAATTCTTTTGGGTATGTACCCCAAAGTGGAGTTGTTGGGTCATATGTTAGTTCTATGTTTCACCTCCTGAGAAACTGCCAAACGTTTCCAAAGCAGCTGCACCATTTTCCATTCTCACCAACAATGCACAAGGGTCCTAACTTCTCCACATTCTTGCCAACTCTTGTTTTTTTTTCTCTCTCTCTCTCTTTCTCTCTTTCTTTCTTCCTAATAGCCATCCTAATGGATGTAAAGTGGACTCTCATTGTGGTTTTGATATTTTTAGTATTTTTAATTTAAATAAACCTTAAGTCCCTTTCTCTAAAGCTATTTTTTCTCTTTTTACCTCCTTTCCTGTTCTTCCACCATCTTATTTCAAAGCTGTACAACATTAGCTGCCATTCAGAAATTCCCATCATTTTCATGTTAACATGTTTTCATGTTAATTTCTACCTACATGACTGAGATTTTAAAATGTCATTTGAGAAACATAAATTTTAATGTATATGAGAGCAAAATAGTCTTTTAGAAGACGCTATCCTGTGAGGCTCCTCTGCTTGGGTCCCAGAAAGAATCTTATAAAGCATCCAAGGACGAGATCTGCCCAAGGAGAAACTGGCCCACATAGGCAGACAGAGCTATCCTCCTACCACTGGCCTGAGTGAGCAGCTGGCCTTGGGTGCTTGGTGTTTCTCTCCAAGGGAACCCTGGGACCTGGGAGTCAGTCAGTACATCCACATGCTGGAGGGGCTGCTCACAGGGCTGAGAAGAGTTCTCCAAATGCACCCTGGCTCTGCCTCTTAGCTGTTCTCCTAGAACAACAGGGAAAAAGTAGAAATTAGCTCTGGGAAGAGTGGAAACACTCTGGGACCAGAGGAGTTGGGTGGAGGGGGTGCTTTGGAGAGGGTGGTAGGCAGAGTCACAAAACTCAGGTTAAAAACCTTGAAATCTGTTCTGGAGCATGTTCTCCAGGGGGCATGATACACGTTGCATGTTAAAAATGTGAGATGGTGATTGGGAGGCAGGGGACCACGTAGGAAGCTTCTGCAGAGATCCAAGAGAGAGGAGATGGTGGCTGGGACCAGGGAGGTAGCCGTGGTGATGGAGAGAAGTGGGCAGATTTGAGATACATGTGGGGACTAGCTATTAGGACTTAGTGATGGATGACGTGGGAGATTGGAGTAGAGGCTATTGACTCAGTGAGTAATGTGGCCATGAACTGAGCTGGGTACAACAGAGAGGGTGCAGGCTGTGGAGTGGGAGGTGTCTGGTCTAGAGTTCAGTAGGGACAATAAAGGGTTTGTCCTCCTGGGAGGCACCTGCACTAAACATGGACCAGATGGTCATAGGATGCTGTTCCAGTTTTACTTGCCAAAGTCACTTTTGGCCTTTGATCCTCAAATACATTTTAACTATTTCAAATCAAGACAGACAATTACTACCCAACTCAACATTCTCTATACAGTATCCAGCAACCAGTTGGATAAGAGCGGGCTTCAGTTTGCATCTGCATGCGGACGAATGATGGAGGCGGGGAGAGGGGAACTCTCCAGTGACAGTGGTTTCCTCCGTGTCCCATGATGGCCTCAGGGCATGCCAGTGGGCAATGGCAGTGACCCTGTTGTTCTGAACAGGGATTTATATGGGACAGCTCTGTGCCCATTCCCTTTCCCCTCTGCCTGCCCTCTTCTCCTCACTCCTAGAAGAGAATGGCCCACAGTCCGCATCTCATGAGACACACGAGTGACAGCATCTTTGCTTCTTCCTAACTAGAAAGGGCAGCTTCCCACCTGATCCCCTGCTGGGCCCCTCCATCCCGCTGCTCCCTCATCTGTCGCCGACGGTCTACACATTCTCAGGGTCTATTACTTGCATCACACTCTTTCCTGTACTACAATCTACTTGGCAGGATTTGGGTTGTGAGGGACAGAAACCTTCTGGATACAGCTCAAGCCGACACAGGATGTTTGTTAAAAAGTTGCAGAGGTGGAGGGGACCAGGTGACTTCAGCCAGGGTGTCAAGTCCTGGAGCGGAGACTGGGCTACCAAGAAATGCTCCAGGAGTGGTGAGATGGGTTGAGGGGAGAGCACTGCCCAGCAAAACCCCTCCCTGGGGCGGTAGCCTCTAGAGGGCACTAGACCACCGTGAGACTAAACCAGAAATGGGGTGCCAGGTAGTTTCAATATGGGCAGGGTCTAAGTTTGAGCCCCAAAAACCAGCCAGGTAGGGGGGACCAATAGACCCACGAACACAGTAACAGTGGCAAGATGAACGATCTTAAAAAAAAATAAATGCAAAAAATCTATGATGAACAAATTACCAACAATTTAAATGAAGATAGGTTGTTTGTTTCATGACCCTGCACTATTGCGCAGTGGGAATGGTTGTTTTCAATGAGCCTGAGGTTGCCAGGTAGCTTGGCAGTCCTCTGCCTTGTGGCAGAGTGTTGACAATGGGGTGTGAACAGACTGGGCAACTTGGAGCTTTATATACAGTCACGTTTTGTGATTTGCAGAGCTTTTATTAACCTTTCCCACTTGGTTCAAAATGTGGGAGGATATTTGGGTGTGTATAGCGGCTCACACTTTTCATTTTGGCTCTTAATAGGGCTTCTCATGCCATTAAAGTCAACCGTGGATTCCTTATATAACTGGCATAACGTACATTGAAGTGGAAGGCATAAAGATGCAGCTCATCCCTGCCAATGCACCTACTTCAGCTGAACGTTTTGCCATGCACAAATGCCCATTACATGGGCAGTCAGCAGTCTGAGGAAATGCTGGAACCAAATTATGGCAGTCTAGCTCTCTTTACCATAAATGAGTCATTTATCTTGTTACTTGATTCTTAAATACTTTAATACATCAATCAAGAAAAGTCTGCTTTGGAAAAATCACCAAAGAATTAGAAGAGAGAGGAAAAGAAAAAAACCTAAAAGGTGTTTTTTTTTTTTTGCCAATTTTTAAAATTAAAATCCAGCTGGCCTGTACAGTGAAAGTGAGTTACTCTGTCTACAACTTTTACTAATATAACACCAGTTCCTCTTTACCTTTTAAAAGATTATCAAAGGTGGAGGAGGGGGATTGGAATCGGGTCTTGAGCCTCAGCTGGGGGAGGGGCAGATCATGCCAAGTCTTCATGCCAGGGAAGCTTTGGGAACCTGATTTCACATCAGTCTCTAAAAAGGAGGGCTGACCCTGCTTGATGGTAAATGGCTTCCTCAGTCCTTCTCCATGTCTCTCTGGGTTCCTGACTCTTCTGGACCCAGTCCCTTTGTTGACCGCTCTCCCAGATGGCAGACTCCAAGCCTGAAAAGCAGGCCTTCTTTCCATTTCCCAGTGCCTGTCAGGATGACTGGGTGGGCTCAGAGGTTCCTGGGAGGGGTGCGATTCCAGAGGCCTCTTAGAGGGGTCAGCAATCTCCCTTCACAGGCCTTGCTTGGCACAGAGGCATCTATCTCAGGTATGTGACATGGATCCTTGGGCTGTGGCACACGAGGAGTCAGGTCAAAGGGGTAGGGACCTCACGCGGAAGACAGGCCCCAGCCACTACAAACTGTCCTGCCCTCAGGTTCCCTAAGCAGCCCTGAGCAGCCCCTTTCTCTGCCACCTTCCACCAATCCTCCGTCCCCTGCACAGCCCAGCACAGCGGGGCTCTGGGGAGCGCCAGCTCCGGGGCCCGGCAGGAGGCCAGGCGAGCGTTGACTGGGGCCCTGGGCGCAAGGCCCGCCTTGAACGCCAGGCTCCAGGGCCACAGGGCACGGACAGGACCGAGCCGTCGGCGCGGAGCTGTCCAGCACCCGAGGCGGGGCGCGCGCCCCCGGCCCGCCCCAGCCGCCTCCTACCGCCCTGCCAGCGCCACTGCGGCTCGGCGGGCGCGTCACGTGGCTGGCGCGGCTCGGCCTCCAGGCTCCGGGCGGGCGAGGGGCCGGGTGGGAGGACCGACAGACCCGCGGACGCAACACCGGCGGCACCCGCTGGTCGGGCTGGGCGCAGCGCGGGGTTGGCCCGGGGGCGCCGGGCCCGGAAGGGCTGCGCGGCGCGGCGCGGGGCATGGGCGCGCCGGAGGCCCTAGGGCACCGGCTGGCCGCGGCGGGGCG